GAGGCATGGCTAAAATGCATGATCTGTTCGGTATTTTGAAAAACAAAAAGTATAAATATGCCTTATATAGGTATGGTCCTACACTATAGTATTCAAATATAGCATGATAGGTCCACTTTAAAGAGTCCTCTCCTGCTGATGTTCAGGTGTATATCAGTATGTAGTGTCTCCACTTTAAAGAGTCCTCTCCTGCTGATGTTCAGGTGTATATCAGTATGTAGTGTCTCTACTTTAAAGAGTCCTCTCCTGCTGATGTTCAGGTGTATATCAGTATGTAGTGTCTCTACTTTAAAGAGTCCTCTCCTGCTGATGTTCAGGTGTATATCAGTATGTAGTGTCTCTACTTTAAAGAGTCCTCTCCTGCTGATGTTCAGGTGTATATCAGTATGTAGTGTCTCTACTTTAAAGAGTCCTCTCCTGCTGATGTTCAGGTGTATATCAGCATGTAGTGTCTCTACTTTAAAGAGTCCTCTCCTGCTGATGTTCAGGTGTATATCAGTATGTAGTGTCTCTACTTTAAAGAGTCCTCTCCTGCTGATGTTCAGGTGTATATCAGTATGTAGTGTCTCTACTTTAAAGAGTCCTCTCCTGCTGATGTTCAGGTGTATATCAGTATGTAGTGTCTCTACTTTAAAGAGTCCTCTCCTGCTGATGTTCAGGTGTATATCAGCATGTAGTGTCTCTACTTTAAAGAGTCCTCTCCTGCTGATGTTCAGGTGTATATCAGTATGTAGTGTCTCTACTTTAAAGAGTCCTCTCCTGCTGATGTTCAGGTGTATATCAGTATGTAGTGTCTCTACTTTAAAGAGTCCTCTCCTGCTGATGTTCAGGTGTATATCAGCATGTAGTGTCTCTACTTTAAAGAGTCCTCTCCTGCTGATGTTCAGGTGTATATCAGTATGTAGTGTCTCTACTTTAAAGAGTCCTCTCCTGCTGATGTTCAGGTGTATATCAGCATGTAGTGTCTCTACTTTAAAGAGTCCTCTCCTGCTGATGTTCAGGTGTATATCAGTATGTAGTGTCTCTACTTTAAAGAGTCCTCTCCTGCTGATGTTCAGGTGTATATCAGTATGTAGTGTCTCTACTTTAAAGAGTCCTCTCCTGCTGATGTTCAGATGTATATCAGTATGTAGTGTCTCTACTTTAAAGAGTCCTCTCCTGCTGATGTTCAGGTGTATATCAGCATGTAGTGTCTCCATAAATAGAGATTGGTGTCTCTTTGAAATACCTCCGGAGATGAGGCAGATGGCGCTCAGTAGCCCTGTCTCCGTGTCGTCCATCTCGATGGGCAGCAGCTGGTGAGCGAAGGTGAAGACGAGGTCTGTGAGCGGGCCGAAGCCAGCGTTGTGCATCTGAGTCCGGTTCAGAGTCAGGCCGTCGGAGAAGGTCATGGTGTCCTGATCCGGGGTGTAGCGCGTACAGATGCGCAGGATCTGAGGGGGACGAGGAAGAAAAGGTTTACGATTGAAAAGACAGAATACTTTATTTACTAGAGTTTGGCTTTTGTCTTTCAGTCGAGCAGCTTTTAGAGCACGAATCGAGAGTCGCTTCGGGCTGTCAGTGTGGAAAAGGTTCAAGAAACTTCATTTATCGGGTTAGAAAACCTCTTATGTGACCATTCACCTTGTTTATAAAACAGCTGGAGAAGATCAGCACAAAAACTAATTTTCTGTGCCCTTCAAGGCAGCAACAAAGCTTTTACTGCCTCAAAAGTGACAGAAAGAGTTGAATAAAAAATAAATAATTGAGATATTAAAGTAAGTACGATTCATGCATGTGTTATTTAGGTGAATCAAGTCTGGGGCTGTCACAACATCAGACGATTGACCAAAGGTATTCAATATTAAATATGACCCTATTATTCTAAATACTAATATGTTGCAACACCTCTAACGAACACTTACACTTCATCTTAAATAAAGATATAACATTATTCTGGCCTGCCAGTTTAATCAGCTGATACACCACAATCTATTTGTTAAGTCTTTTTATTTTCACACTGTTATTAACCCGATGTTTCTGACTGATCATAACTCTGTGAGACTCAGAAGTGTGAGGCAGGTGGAAGAAGTTTCACATAAAGAACAACAAGCCAAACAATGACCTTCCTCACACTGAAGGAGAATCACCTGCTGCACGGTGTGTGTGTGTGTGTGTGTGTGTGTGTGTGTGTGTGTGTGTGTGCGTGTGTGTGTGTGTGTGTGTTTGTGTGTGTGTCTCCTTTGAAGCTGTGTGAGTGGGCCGGCTCTGACAGTGAGTGGCAGCGTGTCTGCAACATGAAACAGAATAAAACATGGCTGCTGGCGGTTACTCGCACCGGCTGGCCAGGCCTGCTCACACACACACACACACACACACACACACACACACACACACACACACACACACACACACACACACACACACACACACACACACACACACACACACACACACACACACACACACACACTGCGTTTGATCTTCCCTGTCCAGTTGTCCAGTACCTACGCCCTTCATTCAGACAGTAGAGCCAGCATCATCACAGCTTCACCTCGACTCTGTCACACCTGACAACTCACTCCACGCTCCAACACACACACACACACACACACACACACACACACACACACACACACACACACACACACACACACACACACACACACACACACAATGAAGTGTAACCCCTCCAGAATAAGAGCACTGAAGTGTAACCCCTCCACAATAAGAGCACTGAAGAGTAACCCCTCCACAATAAGAGCACTGAAGAGTAACCCCTCCACAATAAGAGCACTGAAGTGTAACCCCTCCACAATAAGAGCACTGAAGAGTAACCCCTCCACAATAAGAGCACTAAAGTGTAACCCCTGCAAAATAAGAGCCTCACCAGGATGTCGAGGCAGGCGGCCTTCAGGAGAGTGATCTGGTCGGCGATGGTGAGCGCCGTGAAGCCAGGAACTCGTTTGGCAAACTCCACGATCTTTATAATGCACTTTGTGGCCAATTCACTGAATTTATCCCACAGACCGAGGTCCAGCCGCACACGGTGGTCCGCACTCGAGTTCTGAAACACACACACACACACACACACACACACACACACACACACACACACACACACACACACACACACACACACACACACTGGTTATTATTGTGATATTTAAAGAAAACGAAAAAGTCCAATAAAGTAGTGCAGGAGACATACATATAATATACATATAAAATATAATAAAACACTGTACAGTAGAATACAAAAACAGTAGTAATATTATAACCCTAACCCAACAAAAAATAAGATAAAATATTAAAAATAATAATTTATAACAATAACAACAATGATCATAAATGCTAAAAACAAGAATAGCAAAAGTAATATATAGCAATAATAATAAGTCCTCTCTCCCCTCCTCTCCTCCCTCACAGTGAATCAGCCCTGAGCTCAGGAGCTGCTGAGTCTCAGAGATAATGAGCGAACAGTCAGAGTTTCTGTTTCCGACAGATCGGTGACAGGCAGCGCTGCCATTAAAACACAAACACAGACCAGAACCAGAAAAACCAGCGGGGCGGTGTGCAGAGAGGGAGAGGAGGGGGAGAGGGAGGCTGACAGGTGAGAAGAGGGAGAGTTAAGTATGTGAGGGCAGAGAGGGGGAATAATGCAAGATGTGCATATTGTACTTAAAAAATATGCACATCTTGCATTATTCCCCCGCTTATTACTTTATTGCTAATGTTCATACAGTATGTGTATTTAATTGTTTTTATATATATGTTAATGCCCATTTTTACTTTTCTTATGATGTGAAAATAACAATTTGTATTACTTATTAAAATGTAAATATTTGTATTCTATTTTATTTTATTTTTTATTCTTATTGCAGATTTTTATTTAATTTTTAGCGTTTATATCACATTTTTTAATTCATTATTTTCACATTTATTATTTCACATTTTTTAATTGACCTTCTTCTGTGTTTTTTTAATATACGTATTATTTGTATTTAGTGCTGTGTGTCTTCGAAACAAACTCCTTAGATATTTAGGATGTTATTCAGCATGCATAAAGCAGAGGAGACAGTGGGTGTTTCTCAATGTCGAGGACGCTTCCTTGGTAGCACATGTACCTCCGAGTCAGGTCCTTCAGAAGCGAGGCAAGAATCCTTCCTAGCCTCGGAAAACGAAGAATGGTGGAACAGGCTAACAGGTGTGCGTCATATGCGAGGCCCCGCCTTAAACGGAGCGCGATTTCCGCCAAAGATTTGGGAAATTGGTCCGTGCGCAAAGCATTGTGGGGATTTTAAGACCGCGGAGTCTACACATGTGCAGCCTCGAAATGTCCCGCAACGAAGGACGCCGGCCTCGGTAGAATTCCAAGCATCCTGGACATTGGAACAGTCCTTCGGCGGGACTCGATGACGTAGCATGCTTGAAATAGCGGCTCTGGAGCAGCCTTCCTTGACATTGAGAAACACCCAGAGAAACATGCTCTCTATATAATAACTTACGCTACCTGACATTATAGCTCGTCAATGAGTTAATTTAGTTTTAGGAGACTTTTTGGGAAATGAGAATAAACTCTGCCTTGCTATTTTAAAGTGAGTTATATAAGCAGATACATAATAAATAGGATTGACAGACTAAAGCATTACATAACTGAAACCCAGACAAAGGGAATATTAGAGCTGGACATACATTAGAAAATCAGCCAACAAGTAAATCTTTAATTCTGATTTAAAACAGATCGGAGGAGTCCGTCTGCCCCGCAGCTTTCTGAGGAATAAAACAAAAGAAAAGTATTTCTGTTTAAGTCAGTCACCGGGGGGGGTTCTGTATTCCACTCAGTTATGATGAATATGGGATAATCTGACTCTATCTGGGTTATTATTGTCTGGATGGAGAAGCTTCTGGAACAACTCCCAAACCCAGACTGAGATAATTGAATGAAGAGTGCAGAAAGCTAGATCCCAATGTTTGAAACAAGAGCAGCTTCCATTAGAGAGTCATACTGCAACTTGGACCCTAACCCTAAAAGCTTTTATGGGCTTATTTTAAAGGTCACCTATTATGTAAAACCCACTTCTTCATGTCTCTTCTACATCAACACGTGTCCCCTCTTCTTCATGTCTCTTCTACATCAACATGTGTCCCCTCTTCCTCATGTCTCTTCTACATCAACATGTGTCCCCTCTTCTTCATGTCTCTTCTACATCAACATGTGTCCTCTCTTCCTCATGTCTCTTCTACATCAACATGTGTCCCCTCTTCTTCATGTCTCTTCTACATCAACATGTGTCCCCTCTTCTTCATGTCTCTTCTACATCAACATGTGTCCTCTCTTCCTCATGTCTCTTCTACATCAACATGTGTCCCCTCTTCTTCATGTCTCTTCTACATCAACATGTGTCCCCTCTTCTTCATGTCTCTTCTACATCACCATGTGTCCCCTCTTCTTCATGTCTCTTCTACATCAACATGTGTCCCCTCTTCTTCATGTCTCTTCTACATCAACATGTGTCCCCTCTTCTTCATGTCTTCTTCTACATCACCCATGTGTCCCCTCTTCTTCATGTCTCTTCTACATCAACATGTGTCCCCTCTTCTTCATGTCTCTTCTACATCACCCTGTGTCCCCTCTTCTTCATGTCTCTTCTACATCACCATGTGTCCCCCTCTTCTTCATGTCTCTTCTACATCACCATGTGTCCCCTCTTCTTCATGTCTCTTCTACATCAACATGTGTCCCCTCTTCTTCATGTCTCTTCTATATCAACATGTGTCCCCTCTTCTTCATGTCTCTTCTACATCAACATGTGTCCCCTCTTCTTCATGTCTCTTCTACATCAACATGTGTCCCCTCTTCTTCATGTCTCTTCTACATCAACATGTGTCCCCTCTTCTTCATGTCTCTTCTTCATCAACATGTGTCCCTTCTTCTTCATGTCTCTTCTACATCAACATGTGTCCCCTCTGTGGAAAGAGACTCTGAAAGTTTCAGGAACAAAGATTCTCTCTCTTTTTCTCCTGATCCATTTCTATAAAAACCTGTCTGAAAATGAGCTGATCAGATTTTGGCCACTTTATGATGTCATAACGATGTTTTGTCTTGTGTAACCATTAGCCAATCAGCAACCAAGGTAACCCCCCCCCCCCCCCCACCTTACCACCTGAATCTCCTCCTAGAGCACCATTGAGTTCTTTGTAACCAAATCTCTCTCAGAGGGGCGTGGGGAGGGGCTCCTTATTTTCATCTAAAGTAACAGACAGAGAATCAGCACTTTGGAAACAGGGCTGAAACAGAGGGGATTATGGGTAATGCTGCAATGATCTGTTTGGTGTTTCAGCCAATCAGAGACAGGCTCTGTATATATCTGAGACCTGTGATATATTGATGAAACACAGTATAATAGGGGACCTTTAACAATGTGATCACATGACTGTCTGTGTACAGAAACATTTGTGTTTCTATATCTGCATCGTTTCTAAAGCTGCAGCACGTTTCTCCTGATGGAGGTGATTCGGGTCGTTGTAGCACGTTAGCACCCGTTAGCCGCTGTAGATGATGGCTTACAAAGGACATTTATAAAAGTGCTATCTTTTTGTCTAACACTTATTTTCCAGCATGTCAAAAATACTTCTTTAAACGTATGTGAGGTGGAACTGCATGTTGGAAAAACAAGATGCTTAATCCTGCTATTCTACAATTAGGAGGCAAATTAGCGCCGTAGCTCTTTCTATCTTTCTCAAACAACACTATTAAATACTGTGATAACATTCGCAGGTTGACGCTTGAAAATCCCCAGAAAACATCAGATCCTGTGCAGGAAGGTGAGCTATCTCTACCGCCCTGCAGCTGTTGAGGTAACAGAAGCTGTCGGATAAAGTGAGCGCCTAACATGACATCCTTTACTGAAAATCCAATATGTACTCAGTGTGTCTTCAAACTCCAACATCAGTCTGAGCCGCGGGAGCTTTAAACACAACATCAATCCTCCTGAGTGTTACTGCTCTGGACACTGTCAGCAAACAATGTACTGTGGACACTCGAGAGAGAGGGGGAGATAAAGGGAGATAAAGGGAGAGAGAGGGAGAGAGAGGGAGGGAGATCATTAAATATGATCTGGGGTTAAGCGAGAGGCACATTAGAGCCGAGCTTAAATCACACACAACGAGCTGCAGTCGACACAACGGCACTACGGACGCACATTCCCCTGATTCACGTCCGATTTGATGGTGTGTGTGTGTGTGTGTGTGTGTGTGTGTGTGTGTGTGTGTGTGTGTGTGTGTGTGTGTGTGTGTGTGTGTGTGTGTGTGTGTGTGTGTGAGAGAGAGAGAGAGGATGTGTTTGCACATGTGTCAGGGGGTGGAGGTGGCTGATATTAAAGCAACTCATCTTGCTCTTGCCTCTGGGTGGAGGAAAGAGAGGGAGATAACACACAGTTAGATTTCTTTTTGTTCAAACCAACCCCCCCCCCCCCCCCCCCCCCCCCCCCCCTGCAATTTCAGTCAATTACACCAGTCCCATAATTCAATAGAGCCAAACAAGGAAGTTGCCGGGGATTTCTAATTCCATTTGAAGACATTTATCCAAACGAATTAAGACAACTTGCGACAGTAGAGAAGAAGCAGGAAGGGGGAGGCAGTGACAGCACGAATGTGACGAATATCATCGAATAGCATCGAATAGCATCGAATAGCATCGAATAGCATCGAGCGCTAACGCTTTATTTTGCCTTTCAAAGTGCCTGTCTCCTTTTCCATCACCATCACTGTCAATAAAGCGTGTTCATTGTCGCGCTAAGAACTATTTTTTTTTTAAATAGAAATGTGTTTGTTCATTTGTTCACATCACCACTTGTCTGACATGGTTACACTGTGTTTTAATTTATAAAAACACATCATGAATGGTTGGATTACCTGCATTTAATCCACTTTCCTGCAGTTATGAGCAGAGACTGTTCCCTGTTGATCATTTAAATGTGTCAAACCTCTTGTGTTTTGTTTCTCCACTGCATGTATTTAATCCCTTTAGTTACTTCACAGATCTGGATGAATGATGTGAAATAT